TAATTAGTAACACGTCAAGATGGATCACTGTACAAAAGTTGAACGGCATTTCAACTCAGGAATATTACTATTAGTTGTCATATGGTTCAATGCAGAATAATCTAAGAATTCAATATTACACGTATCAATCCAAATAAAAGAAAAAAACTAACTCAAAAATAAAAGGAAGAACAAAATTAAAATTTTAGCATATCGGTTATAAAAAATGTCAATAAAAAACGTACTCGATCTGACTTATATCCATCCATGTATTTGCTAGAGAGTTTGTCTTATTATAAAAGTCAATCAGAATGATACATTATGATATAATATTAATCATGATGAGATGAATTTTTGATTTTATGAATTCTTTGATTGACAAACATGAAATACTATGTGTTGATGACTTGATGTTATATGATACTTTATAATGTTATATGATATTATTGGTATCACTGAGTTTGAAATCTAATGTGTAATGTCTTTATATGAATATTCACACTACGTAGATTATTAACTCATTTTGGACCATATCAAATCTTATTGGCCAACACAATAAAAATACATATATATTTCTTTAATTTTAATGCGTTCTTTAAAAATATTAATTTTTATTTTATTTTATTAGAAAAATATATATTTTTATTATTATATTCGCTTGATGAGTTTATTATAGTAGGTATTTAATGTAATGAAAACTAACTTTCTTTTTGGATAATTCAATTTCATTACCCAATAATCAGAAAACCTACTACAGTATACAGAGATAATAAACAACACATTAGCACACTAAACTAAACCAGCTAACAAAACAGAACAATGAGACAGGTCCTACTCAGGTAATGCCCCACTTTACACACATGGCAATGTTGGATGGGTCTTCTCTGTTGAAGGGTTTGCCTTCCAGCCGGATTCGGATGGTCTCCTTAATATCTCCCAACACTTCTTCCTTTGATCTAGCTCTACTCCCAAACAATATGTCATTTTTTTCCTTCCATATGTCGTAAACGTGACCAACCCAAACAAGTTTAAGAATTCTCACAATGCGAGATTTACCCTTGAATAGCAGAGAAGCCCAAGCTAATTCACCATTCTAGCTGCTAGCTCCACGAGAGATGCAACACAGTTCAAGAATGGTCCCCACAGTTCCTTAGCAAATCGACATTCAAAGAAGAGGTGATCTCTTGATTCTGCCTCATTGCCACCTAGTAAACATTTATCAGATTCAATGACTAGGCCCATTCGTATGAATCTAACCTGAGTAGGCAGCCTGTTCAGTATGGCCATCCATACAATAATTCTATGCTTGGGGAAACGTCTAGAGAACCAGACCAAATGGTGTCAAGGAACCTTGGAGCAGAGGTGCGCAATTCTTCCCAAATATAAAAGAAAACTAACTTTCATAATGCGTTCGCAAATTAAAATACAATTATTCATTAAAAAAATAGAATTCAATCTATTTATTTTGGGCTGAAGAAATAATTTGAGTAGACCTAATCAACACCAAAGCAAGTCTCAGCCCAAATGAATTCGGTCTAGAGCGGCAGTTGGCCCGGTTTCAGTTTATTAAACGGCTAGGGTTTTATCACTGATCCCGCTATATATTTTATTTCCAGCCACTAATCTCAAATCGCGGCTAAGGTTTTCTCTCCTCTGGCTTATAACTTTACTTTACAGGTAAGTTTTATAGCTTTGTTCGTGGAAAGAACAGATACTTGGAGATGAGGTAATTTTAATTGTCATTTTTCTGGTTCATTTTGTTGGCTTGGTGTCTGTTCTTCTGAATAATGCTGAATTTCAATTACCTAACTTTATATATATGATCTTGATAGATTCCTTTTATTCCTTGATTAGTTTCTTAGGATTTTCTATTGTTTTTTTATTTACTGGACTTGAGTTAGGAGAGTTTGGATCCGTTCATTGATTTGTGTTCTATGGGATTATCTGTTTGGTACTTTCATCAATGAAATATGAACCAAGCATGGTTTTTGGGTGTTCATTTTTTATTATGAGCTGTTTATGTAGCCTTGAATCATTGATCCTTCATTATAACTCGTGATTCATGTGGTTGACTCTTATCTATTAGTTTATGGTTTTATTTCCTAAAAGATTTCGGTTTTTTCATTTCCAGTAAGCTTCAGAGTGATGCCCTCAGAGAAGCTATTTCAACCATAGTAGCTCAGTCCAAGGAGAAGCAACGTAAGTTTACCGAGACCATTGAGCTCCAGATTGGGTTGAAAAACTATGATCCCCAAAAAGACAAACGTTTCAGTGGTTCTGTTAAGCTGCCACATATTCCCCGTCCTAAAATGAAGGTCTGCATGCTTGGAGATGCTCAACATGTTGAAGAGGTAATTTTGCACCATTCTTAGATAAGTTTTTTTTTTTTGCTTACCTTGCTTGGAAGGGTATGCTATTTTTGGACTCTTGTTGAAGAGGTAGTGTTTTATGCATTGAGTCTTTTTTGAAATGTTTTAATTTGTACCGCAGGCAGAGAAAATAGGTTTGGATTATATGGATGTGGAAGCACTTAAGAAGCTTAACAAGAACAAGAAGTTGGTGAAGAAGCTTGCCAAGAAGTATCATGCTTTTTTGGCTTCTGAATCTGTCATCAAGCAGATCCCTCGTCTCTTGGGTCCTGGTCTCAACAAAGCAGGCAAGCATTCTTTATGAGCATTATTGTTGCGTCTGTTTTCAGCAATTTTGCATTTTGTCAGATGTGGGTTTTGAATTGTGTTATATTGCCTGATTTTGGTGACAATTGCAGGAAAATTCCCCACCCTTGTTACTCACCAGGAATCGCTTGAGTCCAAGGTGAATGAGACCAAGGCAATGGTTAAGTTCCAGTTGAAGAAGGTGCTTTGCATGGGTGTCGCGGTTGGGAATGTAGCCATGGAGGAGAAGCAGATCTTCCAAAACGTGCAAATGAGTGTCAATTTCCTTGTTTCATTGCTGAAGAAAAACTGGCAAAATGTGAGTTTCCTTAGCCTTTGTTCCTTTAGTTTGCTTGGCTACTGCTACACAATGTTTATCTTCCTTAATAGTGTGTATGGGATTTTGGTGTTATTTGAAGATTTTCTTTATACAATCTGAATGAATTTATGGTAATTGCAGGTGAGGTGCCTCTACTTGAAGAGTACAATGGGTCCATCAAACAGGATCTTTTAAGTTCACATTTACCTCTCTGATAAGAGTTATGCATGTGGGGATTAATACTGCTATATCAGTTTTAATCAGAATGCTGAAATTTTCTGTTATGTTTTTTTTGTTGGGATCTTCAGGAGTTATGCGTTTGAGACATTGGATGTTTTTTTTTTGGCATATGAACATAAATGTTGATTTTCACTTATTAATATCTCATCTAGATGAAATGGAAAACACTCAACAATTTTATTTACTCTAGTTTAGAATTAAATTTAGTAAATATAAATATAAATAATAAAGTGGATAATAGAGTTTAACCCACAATTCTCTATCAAACATGTTATATAAAATACTTTTATTAGTCAATTTTTTAACGGTGTTAAGAAAATAAAATGGACGATAAAACTAAATATTACAGATAAAAAGAAAAAAGAAATTAAAAGATCACTAAAACAAGTATAGTTTAGAAGAAAAATTATAATTAAACCTTTTAAATTAATTTATGAATTATCATATATTTTAAAAGGGCAAAACTGCTCCAATAATGTGTTGGGAAAAGAAAAATTTGGATAGAATGTAAAAAAAATTATTTTTCCAAGGACTTGGAAGTAGTCTGAAACATATGGATTTTCCAAAAGACTTATGAGTTTTCTAGAAGATTTTATGGATTATTTGACGCTTTTACAACATCACTCAGTTATCACTGTTATCGTATAACATATGAAATTTCGTTATGTACTTTAGACGATTTTTAAAAAATATTTTATGTTCCAGACGATTTCCATTAAACAATGAAGTAAACATCCTACCTGTAAGAGTAATTTCTCATACATTCTATATAGTCATTTTCTTTCAACAAGCTTAACGAAAAATATCATTTTAGAAGTATGTAAAACACTATAATCTATGTCAGTAATCCGATCTTAGCTCAGTTGGTAGAGCGGAGGACTGTAGTGGAATTTGTCGAAGAAATCCTTAGGTCGCTGGTTCGAATCCGGCAGATCGGATCCTTTTCTTAAACTGATAAAAAATAATAATTTTTTGTAGTTTGATGACATTATTGTATAGTTTACCCTTATTAATTATTTCTACTTAAAACCTTGGTAAAGGTGGATGCAGTTTTACCTTAGAAAACGTTTGCCAAATTGTGCAGTGTTGATCCATAGTAATCACTGGCTAGTAGGTATTTACCAGTAGGTTGTTAGTTGTTCCCATTCATAAACTTATAACACAACTCTCGTTTTCTCCATCCTAGAAACTAAAGCACTATGTGGTAAGTCGTCTCCTTTTGCTTCCCTTTGCTCTTTATATTTTGTGTTGATCATCTGTTTCTTGTATTTGGCCATGGTATTTTCCTTTTCCTTTTACATGCTAAATTGAAATCTTCACTTCTTTATGTGGAAAAGTTCGACAAAGGAAGTTAAAAAGAATAGCTTTTGTTCTTGGGTTGATTTGTTTGTTTTGATGAAACCAAGGAACTGTACTCACCCTAAACGATAAAGTGGGAGATCAACTTGACCCCATGCTCTGAAAATGTGATAAAAAAAATAGTTGATTTTGTGTTTGATCATTTTCCCAGAAGATTGTTGGTTATTTCAATGTTTGTCGTTCTCTTGATGCTAAGTTGAACTATTAGAACCGACCTCAATGATAAAAGGAAATGTTGACCACCCCAGTAGTCGGGTTCAATCAATTGCCTTGTATAGGATAAGCAATGATCTTAGCTCACTTATCCCTTCAGTCAATCAATTGCCTTGTTTAGGATAAGCAATGATCTTAGCTCACTTATCCCTTCAATCTTCCCTTTATTATTGTTATGTGTTTAGCTGCTATTCATTTAAAATTGACAATTCTTATTTTGGTCATTTAGGAGTCAAGATGGCAACTATGAGCTTCACATCTTGTATTGTTAAAACTGCAATCCCCAACCGATTCACAGGTGCTCTTCTCAAGGCCCCGGGATCTCTTGGATCCATCAAGAGCAGCTCAAAATCCTTTGGCTTGAAATGTTCCTCCAATTACCGAACATCCATGGCCGTGTACAAGGTTAAGCTCGTGGGACCAAATGGCAAGGTGAGCAAGATTGAAGTTGCCGATGATAAATACATTCTGGATGCAGCCGAGGAGGCTGGACTAGACCTGCCTTATTCCTGCAAGGCTGGAGCTTGCTCCACCTGTGCTGGGAAGATGGTTTCAGGTTCCATCAATCAATCCGATGGTTCCTTCCTCGACAATAAACAAATAGAAGAGGGTTATTTGCTGACTTGTGTTTCGCACCCTGTCTCAGACTGTGAGATTCACACTCACAAGGAAAAAGATCTCTACCAAGTATTGTGTGGTCATAAAATATGGCAGTTTATCAAGTTTGCTGTCTAGAACTCTTTATCTAAATTTAAAAACAAAATAAAACATTGTTATCTTGTCCAATTTGAGTCCACTGAAAGGTGTTGTATAATTTCTCAAAAAAATAAGGTGCTGTATAATGAAGATACAAGGATGCCATTGTCAGGTTAACGTTAAACTCTCCTACAAAGTAGGGCAATCAATAATGCATTATCATTCATGTTCCAATACATTGCTTCTATTATATCATCTGTTGATGAAGATCAGCTGCCTGCTGAGCCAGCTCCACCACCATAGCCTCATCAAAGAACTTGTTGATGCTCACATCTTCACTCATTCCCTGGAAAGTTTAACACAAAATTCACTCGATCATTTGTGATTGCCTTTTTTTCCTTTTAAGGCTCTTTTGTCGAGTTTTAGAAATGAAATGTGTTTGTGTGAATGCGTGCATGCATGTGGATATAAGTAGCAATACCTTTCTACGCCTTGTCTTCACCATGAACTCCCGAGCAAGGTGCTGTATTGGTGCAGGTTCGAGGGGTCGCAAAACTATGCTCTTGTCTAAGGGATCTCCGGGAACTATCGCCCAGTGGTCGAATACTGAGAGACAAAAGGCTTGTCCTTGTGTGTGGTACCTTAGATCTGTCTCGAATCCAAATGATTCTATCACAGGTAAAAATGCCTAAATGGGAAAAAGAACCAGATGAAAATTGTAAGCATATACATTGGAGTGATTAGTAGCAATTAGGAAATAGCGTGAACATTAGCTTCCGGTCAATGAAATTAGGAAAGCAAATTCTGCAATTCATATGTTCACTACAGTTAACCGACGTTAATAAATAAATAAATCCAACAGTTAGGCAAATATTTCTAAAAAGGAATTCAACCTTAGCTTTCTTACCTTCACAATATAGGCAGGGGTTCCAGGATGAGGCACATCAGCCGTAACATGGCCACGTCTACGAGACAATACCGTGTAGATGGCAGAGACACAGTCGATTGGTGTTTGTATCTGAAACAAAATTACGAATTTAGTCACACATTGTGAGTAGTAGAGTCATTACAGCAAGTTGCATATTAAAAATGATGCCGAAATGAGGAAAATTATGTTTGTAACTTTCCCCTTTATAGGGCAAGAGAGGTTTGCTTCAAGGTAGGACTGAAACGTCCACATAGGTCACCCTCATTCTAGCATGAAGAGGATGCCATCGAATATCAACCGTAAAGATTGAGAATATTTCCAGCTTTCATACGCCGAGGCTATCACATTAGTTTTATTATTCCTTTTTTCATTAGAAGAACGAGCCACTGCATCCAGTCTTCCTTGATTTGCAATATTATCCCGTTTTCTTTTTCTAGCATATTTAATGTAGATAAACCCATAGGTGGGAATATAATTGGAGTAACATACCTCCACATAATATACAGGTTCCATAAGCCGTGGGGTAGCCATAAGGAAAGCTGAATAGGCCACACGTCGAGCTGTGGGGATGATCTGTCCAGATCCTCGATGCAATGATTCAGATGCAATCCTTGCGTCCACTATTTTGAACTTTACATTTCTTATTGGTTCATCACAGAGAGGTCCTTCTCTAGCACCCCACTGAAACCTGCCCAGCGAAGCATGAAATTTTTAGTTACAGGCAGTAGAATTAAGCGACTAACTAGATGAAAATTCTGAAAAGAATATATATTCTTACCCTTGGACAATAGAGTCCCTGACAGAACCCAACAATGCTTTGTCAACCTCAGTAGGGAGTGTATCATCTAATAAAATATTAGGTCCCTACGAAACAAGATTCATAACGGCCAAAGATACCGATTATTAGGACTTGAATGTTGAATTCCATTTTTCTTCTCTTTAAACAAAAAGAAACAAGATAAAATCACCAAGTCAGGGATTAAGTTAGAAAACAATAGAATTGCACTTCTGTTACCTGCTTATCAGGGCCAAATGCCCAGATGGAACGTGCAGCAAGCAAATCCCAGTCATATTTTGTCTTGAAGAAGTCACCAAGTTGCTTCCGACTCCAGTCAACACTTACAACACTGTTCTCAATGTCCTCTGCAAGACCTCTCTCCAATGGCTCTGATATCTTAAAATCATGGAAAGGTATATGATCATACAGACTGAAAGCAAGCACTACCAGAAATTATTCCTAAAAGCATCTACATAAAAGAAAATGAGTTTAGATGGCAGGCTTACCATGGTTATCTTATTCTTCTTGTTCGGTGTTTCAGCAAAGCATTTCATGGAGGAAGACTCCACCACTGTTTCACAGAATGAAACAACAGGATCTGCCACCTTTTATGAGAAGCATAAGAAGTGAAACCCCACATATTAACTTAAGCACAGCCCATAATAGAGAAACAAATTTCAGAAAGAAATAATGAATATAGTATAAGGAGTGTGAGAAAGTACATACCTTAACTTCCACCTCAGAATACAGCTCCCTAAGGTCTTTCATGATTGAGTCCAAGTACAACTCTCCAGTACCTAATATAGTGTGTTCACCAGATTCCTCAACTTTAGTAATAGCTAGAGGATAGCTTTTGCTGATCTTCCGAAGCCCCTCCACCATTTTGGGCAACTCACTGGGATTCAACGGCTCAGTTGCTGTTTTTACAACAGGAAGTGTATTAAATTGTAAGGGCCGGAATATGTATACATCTTCATCCAGATCCACATTACAGAGGGTGGCAGTTTTCATAATTGAAGCATCAACACCTTCAATGAGAACCCAAGAGCCAGGAGGCGCACTGCTTACGGGTATTCTATATCGAGCTTGGTAGATCCACAATTTGGTTACTTCTTTCACTGTCATGTCCTCCTCGTCATCTGGTGAATAGCCTTCTCCCAGTACTCTCAAAGTTTGTCCTGTTTGAATTCTACCACCATAAACTCTACCAAAAGCATCAAAAACACTACAATCGGACTTGGGGTATAGTTTGGTCACATTAACCATAAGAGGACCAGAAGGATCGCAATCTACCATTGCCTTGTAAATCATTGAATGTTTAGGCCCAGTGTATATGTGATCAACCTTCTTAGCTGCAACATCCTTGGGAGATGGTATGTGCTGAACCAGCATATCAGTGAAGCCTGAAGCAGAACCAAAAACTGTGCTGCAAGCCAGTCTTAGCAAAGGCCTAACATTTAACTTGTAAGCAGCATTGCTAAGAGTGACACCTAACTCTGCAAGAGTTGACTCTACACTCTTCCTATGTTCACCAATCACCTGGCTATATATCTTATAAAGGGGTTCAAGCACAAACTCGACAAATGACCGTTCTCCTCCACCAGCAGGAGGTTTCCTTCTAAAAGTCTTCGTATCAGGATGGTAATAAATATCACCCCAAAGTCGAGATGCAAACTTCTCAGCATCAAAAGGAATTCCATGGAGTTTGACATATAATTTTGCAAATGATTGCAAAGTGAAGGACCATCCTGCACTTCCACTAGCAAAACAAACATTTCCAGCAGCAGGATCGATAACTGGAACATTACCAGCAGTTGTAGAGGCGGCAGATATGTGGTTATTGATTATTTCCAGGGCATGCCTTAATTTATGGTAAGCATCCTTGGGAGGCAACTTAAGTTCTGTTATCAGCCGGTCAACCTAAAAAACAGGTATAAAGCATTTGAGCAGGAGCAAGATGTGGAACATCATTTTCATCAAAAAAATTACAGAGATAAATCATAAGGTGAAAAGTGTTTACCTTGTTTATAACAACTACAATAGGTAGGCGCTCCTGTATCGCATGGCGTATAGCCCTCTCAGTGTTTACCTGTTCAAAATAGGAAAGCGAAGGTATTGCTTAGAACAACACATATTGTTCCTTTTCATAATTCATTATTCATACATTCCACAGAAAGCAGGTACAACAATCGGTAAGGTAGTGGATTTGAAAAGATTTGATTAAGCATAACATAATTTAATTGCAATATATCTCAGAGTACTCATTTTCTTTAGGTTTCATTTTACATGTACGTTTTATCTCCAAAAATTCATAAACACAATTCCTATTTCTGGGTATATATTAGGCGGGTCTCAAGCATAGTAAATAAGAACAAGAAAAAAACAATGGATCATTACTGCATTTAGAATACTATAATATCCATATAAAGAATAAAGATGTACTTACCATAACTCCTTCAGCAGCATCAACAATCAACACAGCACCATCTGCAAGCCTAATAGCAGCGGTCATTTCATCAGAGAAATTCACATGACCAGGACTGTCCATGATGTTACAAAGATAGGATTTCGAGTTACTATCCTCAAGAACAAGTGACATTGGAATCGCCTTGATAGATATCCTTCTCTCTTGCTCATCAATTCTCGTATCAGTGTATCTCATGTGCTTCTCACTATTTTCATCAAATGTTTTCATGTGGTGGGTTTGCTCAACCAACATGTCCATGAACACCGTCTTTCCATGCTGCAAATGTCCAACAAGGGCAACATTCCGAACCAAACCCGGGTTTGACATCAAACCGATAAGAAACTGAGTCGATACATAAGTCGAAGAATCCTTAACTCCAACCTCAAACTTGATATTCCTAACAGGCTTAATAATAGGTTGTTCAAGTGGTTGCTCATCTTCATCCATTACCAAGGTCTCAACATCTTCACCATAAACCTCTTCAGCAGTGGGGTAATACTTCTTGTCCTCAGCAAGAACAATCTGATTGTCCATATCAACATCGTTAGCAGCTGTAATCCATCCATTAGACGCATCAGGTTGAGCCTCGCCATCAGATTCATCTCTTTCCTCTTGGTCATGCCTGTCAAGTAGATCTTCATCTTCTTCTTCCTCGCCTTCACTCTCCCTATCGGACTCAATCTCAGGTCCAATATAGTTACCAAATTCATCATACAAGTTATCATCCATTGCTTAAATTCCTAAATCTGCCCACACTAAAAACAAAAATGAATTCCAAAATATATAAATGAAATGTTCAACAAAACCCAATTGAATTCTACTATGATTTAGATACAAAATGGGCACAAAGAAAAAAAGAACATATTAAACGTAAACTATTGCCATGCTTCAACATCAAAGGCCATATGAAAACAATAAAATATACAGCCAATCTATAGAAAGCTTCATATAAGTCGAAACCCAGAAAATTTCTCTAGCTAGAGATCTCACAACCTCTTAATTCTTTTATTCCATGTCTGGGTTTAATTAAGAAGCTCCTCTTTTGAAAAAAAAAAGCAAGAAAACGACTCAAGATAGAGCTTTTTTCAACATGGTCAAGTAATCAAGAGAAAAACAAAAGATATGTTCATAAAAACAAAATGCCGAATGATTAAAGAAAAATGCGTGAACCAAAAATAAATAACACAAATCAGATAAAAGGGAAAGGAGAAGAATGTACCTTTAAGCACCGAACAAAGAAAAGAAGGCGAAGAAAAATGCAAACGAGAAACAGGGGTTTATACAGAGGTTTTCGAGTAGTAGGTTTCAAACACTTGAAATCTTCGACAAGTGAAAGCCGACGGAGCTGCTGGGCAAGCTTTTATCGGAACAGACAAGTTGGGCTGCATATGGGCCTGTTTCCTTATTCATAGATCGGGTCACATTATAATTGATTCTTAAAAGAATTATCAACTTCATGTTAGCCTGGTCCTTCGATTAGTTTCATTGTTTACATTACATATAATATATATATATATATATATATATATATATATATATATATATTTTATATTAATATATTTAGTATTTATAATTTAAATTAATATTTTCAATATAAATAATTCATATTCGAGTCTAGGTCAAGAGGAGTTCGGTCTACTAGAACGGGTAGCACATTGACAAATCTAAATCTTTTTGCTTGAAGGCGACATGGAAAGCCGAAAGCCTTTTGCCGTATCAGAGTGATCGGGAACCACGACCCCGTTATGCAATCTGCCATGGCTCTCTTTCCATATTTATCATTTCTCTAAATTTTCTCGGAAAATAGTATGAACGTTTAGCATTTGCTGCTGTAGGCCAGCTTGTGAGAAAGAAGAAGAAATCCTTGTTTACAAGTGAGAATCATAGTTAAAACTTAAAAAGAAAGAATGTATGCTACATTGAAAAGATTGCTTCACGCCCCTCCCCCATAAAAAAAATACATAATACAAATTCTTGTTCATATCAACCGAGAAATCCATGATCCATCTTAGGAAAATTTTGGTTTTGAAGTTGATTCACTCCCGAGTGTTATCTTCTATCGGTTGCATTTTGATAAGCTTCTCGGCCACCTATTACTAACTGGTTTTAGATTCCATAATTGAAAACTTGGGTCGTGGAGGTACTAAGCAGTTTTTTCTAGTTTGATCCAACTGGTTCCAGGTACCTTCTTAACATCCCTAGTCTCCATTAATTCTCTCAACTTCCCCACATCATCCCAGTTGTTGAAACCAGCAAATATGTTCGACAACAACACATAGCTTGCAGGGTCCTTTCTGTTTAGGTTCATTGCTTGTTCTGCCGCTCGCTTCCCTGTTTCAATATCCCCATGAACCTGACAAGCATTAAGCAAAGTTTGCCAAACTGATGCACCAGGCTGAAACGACATTGACAAGATTAATTCTTCAGCTTCTTTTATATGCCCTGCACGGCCAAGAAGATGCACCATGTATACATAATGGTCTTCACCAGGAGAGATTCCATGGTCATTGGTCATGGAAGAGAAATATCTCCATGCTTCATTGGTAAACATTCCTTGGCTACATGCATATAGCACACACAGGAAGGTAATGTAATTCGGTTTTATACCTTTCACAATCATCTCATCAAAAATGTTAAGAGCTTCTCTAGCTTGACCATTTTGTGCACACCCCATTATCATTGTCGTCCACGAAACAATGGAAAGATCGTCCATTCCCTTAAAAACACCCCAAGCACCGTCCATGGAACCACATTTTGCATACATGTCAATCAATGCATTATCCACACAAACATCAATCTCAACCCCAAGTTTTATCCTCAACCCATGAGCTTTCTTTCCTTCTTCCAGAAAAGCCAAATTGGCACAAGCGTTGAAAGCAGTAGCAAGTGTAAACTTATTTGGTATTACTCCCATCATCCTCATTTCTGCAATAGCTTCCAGTGCCTTTGCAGGTTCCCCATACTCTAACCATCCAGCTGCAATTTGTGTCCAAGAACAAACATCTTTTCCACTCGTTTCATTGAAAGCTTTCAACCCATCGAAAAACCTTTGATTCTTTATATACATATCAACCAAGGAGTTCTGGACACAAGTTTCACTACCATGGCCAGACTTGACAGTTTGACCATGTACTTGTAAACCCGTGTTTAAATGACCAAGAGAAGCCAACCCAGTTAAGACACTTGCAAAAGTAAAGCAATCAGGTTTCAGCCCTTCATTATTCATTTGAACCCAAAATTTAGGCAAATCCAGACAAGAACTTTCCAAGTACCCACTTAACATAGCATTCCAAGTCACAATATCTTTGTTCAAACAATTCTCAAACACCTCCAAAGCTTCCTCTTTTTTCCCATGTCTCATCAAAGCTGTCAAAAAAGCATTGACTAAAAACACGTTTGAATCGAAACCCAAACGTAAAACCATAGCGTAAACTTGGTAAGCTAAATGTAAACTTTCGTGCAAAGAACAAGCTTGAAGGACACTAACAAACGAAAACTCATTAGGCTTTGAGGTTCCATCCCTTATCATGTAAACAAACAAACATAGAGCCTGGTTGAAAAACCCATGTTGGGTAAAGCCCGAAAGCATGGCAGACCATGAAACGACGTTTCGTTGAGGCATTTCATCGAACAACTTGTGACCGCCAATGAGGTCACCACACTTCAAATACATGTTTAGGATGTGGTTTTGGAGATAAAGGGAATTTGGAAATGACCCTTTGATGAATCTGGCATGGATTACCTTCCCATGGAGTAAATTTGCCGTTTGGGCGCATGAAGTTAATAATTTGGAGCAAAAGTTTTCTTCTAAGGTTGAGAAATGAGTATGAAAATTAGCAATGGTGGAATAAAAGAGTGGCCTCGTGGGTTTGAAAACAGCTAGGCGGTACATTTGTTTGCTCCCATTGGTATTAGATTTTGTTTATTGAACTTGATAATAACATTTCTTTGAGCCTAAAATAGGAGTTTAAACGATATGAGTGTTTAAGAGCTAAAAATTGAAATGTTACATGTTAGGAATGATTTTGAAAATAATTATAATTCGGTGATAAAAATTAAATAACATGTCGATAATTAAATATGAGTTTATTAAAAAATTAATATAAATGAAACTTACCAATTTATCATTTTAATATTTTAAATGAATTTTTCTCAACCTACTAACGACTTATAGACACTACTGCTCAAACCGAGAACCTCTAAAAATATTAGCATTATCTTTTATCACTAAAAGTTCAACTCTCAAGTGATGTTATAAAAAGTTAATAGTTGCATATTTTACATTTTCTAATTTATCCTTAGTCCGTTGGTACATACTACATACAACAGCATCAATGTTAACATTTAAATTATCCTTAGCATAAATGTTACATGTTAGGAATGTTCAACTGATATCTAATAGCGAAACATTCCAAGAAAGAATGAATAGAAGAACAAATGCAAGTATAAAAATTCGAGTTATATACATTAACAAATCTAATAGATAGATCACTTCAACAGAAAATAAAAGTAAAAAGAAAAAAAACGAGGGACAATAATAAAGTTCCGAATGCAATTCTAAAATGTAGTCTAAGATAATTCTGAAGCTCTCGACTGTTAAGCCTGATTTAAGGGAACCAAGCTCATTGAATAGGAAAAGACTGTGCAAAAGATGGAATCCGTACTTAACTTGGAAAGTGAACAAACTAGTTGCATTTCATTTGTCTCGATATTCTATAGCATGATTTGCAGAGAAACTTTCATCAGCAAATAACCATCTTTGAACGCTAAAAGATCAATCCATGGTTCCATTTCAACTGACAACCTTTGTGTTACTGTCTGGTGCAAATTGTAAAGCAATTTTGTATGTTGTGAGTGTTTTAGAGAGCTGCAAGGACCACCTGGATTTGAAGTAATCCTCGAGACACCAGACTTGAAGTCCATATTGAGAAACCATGATATAATGCATTTTTCCATCAGATCTCCAATACATGCTTCGGGGATGCTGCTGAATTCATCTGCTGGAAGTGGGACCAATACCAGCCATGATAGTTCAATCTCCACATGGAAGGTAAGAGCTTCATCAGCATCATCAGTTAGCCAGTGGAAAACACCTCTCACATAAACCCCACTGTTCTTGTTCAAGTTACTATTGCACTTGATTTCTACCGATTTCTTCCATGCCCCTGTATCCGAAGCATACATGTCGAATGCAAAGCGTGAGACGTTGGCTTCATTTTTGACCTGTTTCACTCTGATCAATTTGAACTTCGTCGATGTGCCTATGAGATCTTCACATGGATCAAATGCCAAAACAAAGTTGTCCTCTCTGTTAGGCTCATCCCATTTTAGCCTTATCCATTCACGGTTCAAGGGGTTGGAGATGTAGAAGCAAGGGTCTATTTTAGGGAAGCAACTGCGACAGCAGACCAAGCAATTGCATGAAGACAGCACAACATGTTCAGGAAGGAAGTCAAACAGTGTCTGAAAGAGTTCAGCTTCAGCATCTTGCTTTCCGACAGGAATGTAGGTTATGGTGGTGATGTCCTCTTAGCACCATCTATATCTTTGTTGGAATACGAAGTCTGATACAAGTTCTTTCTTCTTGGATTGAGCTTTCATGAAAATAGGGTCCGAGACAAGGCGCTTCCACCCTTTACAAACGCACTTCAACCGTGGCATGTACTTTGCCGGCAACCGAGAGTTCAACTCGCCTAAATCACCCGGTTCCTAAAAGCAAATTAATTGCAAAAATATTAAACTCAGAAAGAAACAAGGAAAGCAACGAAAAACAAAAAGGTGCAATCCAAATGAGTAATAATACATGTTGCACTCTGAATAATATTTCTCTAGAGCATTCTTACAAGCAGTTCAGATTAGCAAGTTAAACATGAACATCCTTTACCTTTAAGAAACAAAAGGAGTGAACATCCTTTACTCTGAATAATACGCCAAGTTTTTCTCACTGTAAAGATCATATTTTACATCAAGGAAAAGTAAAAGTAGGATAATGTAGAAATCAGTGAAACAGAAAAAAAAGAACAAACCAGAAATAACGCCATGTTTAGGAATCAATCAAAAAGGAAAGGATCAACTTTCTTATAGAGAAAACACTATAAACATCACTTACCTTCGAGGAAGAATGTCACATTTCCTCTTCGTCAAGCACTCAAGCTCATATTTGTACGTCCAGGAAGAAGGACTGGCACAAAGGCTAATTTGTTTGTCTTTGACTTGAGTGACCGTTCGTTCTCCGATTTCAGTACATGCCACCATTTTTAGATTATTCTTGAAGTTAATGTAATATATATATATATATATAACCTCAGTGATCGAAAATACCTTATAATATACGATTTTAACCAATTTTTTTTGATTTGCCAAAATGACCAACAAAATCGCAACGCGATCTTAAATTCGCAACACGACCACAACCCGAGACGAGACGGGACGGCGGCGGCGGCGGCGGTGCGCGAGAGTCCCCCTTGTTATCTTCCACTCAACAAGGAAGTGGGAAATCCAAGCCTTAAATACTCATCCCCAATAGTGTTTCCAATACTATGTGGGATTGAACATTGCCAACACTTGGGAATCTTTTACATTATTGCAACACATTCTTTATTGTTTCAAACTAAGATCTTACAAATGGCTTCGGAATTTTTTACACTATCGCAACACATTCTTTATTGTTTCAAACTCCACGTGAATTTGGAATAGTTAAAATGTAAACTTATTTTGGATTTTTCACTATCGCAACACTTTTTCACTATCGCAATAACACGTTTTTCAAACTCTCGCAACACATTTTAACTATCGCAACACATTTTTCAAAATTGCGTTGCGAATCTTACAATTGCGTTGTGAATCTGGATATTCGCGTTGCGAATTTGGAAACTGAGTTGAAAAATTAAAGTTCGCGTTGTGATTTTGTTGGTCATTTTAGCAAATCCAAAAAAAAAATTGTTAAAATCGTATATTATAAGACATTTTCGATATATATCAGTTTTTTTCTTTTGGGTGATAAATTCTTTATAAATTGTAAGTTATTATTATCAATGTAATAGTTGGACTTAAAATATTTTATAATTAGTATATAAAAATAAAATTTTAGAGAAATTGTTTGATGCAGAGAATCATTTTACTCCTAAATAATGATAATTTTGATAGGATAATGTATATGGGAAGACGATCAGATCATTTGATGTTTTTAGGAAGATGTAGGAAAGACACATCGTCTTCCCTAGATTGCATTTAGTGTAAAAGCCAACTTTATCACTATCAACTCAGAAGATGTCGTGTCTTCTCGATGTCTTTGGGACGTCTTCCCAAAGACGTCAGGTAATCCGAATGTTTTTTTCATGCTCTCTTCATACCATCCTAGTTTAGAAAATAATTTCTCTTTCACTTTATATTAGTTTTTCTTTTTTCACCACATTAAAAAAGAAAATTGCCAAAATAACTATTAGGCTAAAAAAGTCTTCATCTTTAACACTTTATTTAACCTTAAGCTATTATCTCACATGTTAAATATCAACAACATATATTTTTTGGGACACATATATCTCTTATTTTCATTGCTTTGGGGTTCAATTATATTTTGTTTGAATGTTTTAAAAGTAATGATTTAATCACTAAAGTTATCGATTTATAACAAATCGGTGACTCGTAATTGACAATCATTAATGAGAGTTACATAATGCTGATGCGGTGTGTTAACCAGCTGAAATGGTACTGTTAACCATGAGCTTGATCGGAACCATCTTTACCATTTGTGCATCTCCGTTGTTCAAGAACTTAGGCTCCTTCTCAAGCTCCCTACCAGATCGTCTGTGAGAAAGTTTCCATTCTTCACTAGTTCGAAATATTGACTGCAATTTAATGCGAAAGCATTGCACGAACATCTGAGAGAAACGCACGATGAACTGATGGAGAAAGGCGTATCGCTAAAAGAACTGAAGGAGCCTTTTCTTATCTTTGTGCGAGCATCAAAAAGAAATACAATGGCCTTGAAAGCGAGTGCTAAAGATGATGAATTTAAGTTCACAAGTTACCAAGCAGCGAGATTCCAAGGCGAGATCTTAGACATGAAACAGGAGAACTTCATAGTTGCAAATGAACTGCAAGCTGGTTTGGATAATGTAACAAGAATGCAGTTTGAAATTAAGAGGAACGAAGCTAGGTTGAGTGAAGACGGGAGAGAGGCTAGCTTTGTTCCTCTTAATTTCAAGCTGCAATCTTGTCAAAACAACAAGATCCCAAATGCCAAAGATCTGAGTCTGATATTCACCGCCAACAAGCTAATCACTGATGCGGATCATCCCGACGTGACTGGAACTTTCACCACTGAAACAGATGCCATTGTATCCAACAACCTGCAACACTAGTGATTGCTGGAAAGACCAACACTATTAGCCAATCAAGTCATTCATGTCTCAAGGAGTCCAACAGAATTATCTGTCTGCAATCGATACTTCAGATGACAAACACGGTTAAGAACATAGGGATAAGCAATTTGATCTGTATATATTCAAGGATAGAACGTAACAAAGCATGGAGATGAAGGGTACTCAACAGCAGTTGGACCTAACTAATACTTTGACATATGATTGCTGTGAATGTTTATTTTGCAAGTTGTGAAGAAAAAGAATTGTGAATTTGTTGTATCTTTTCAGTATGATGACTGGTTTGCTTAATCTTGTGACTTCAAAGGGAATTGAAAGTTAATAAAACTTCAACTCCCTACATATTATCATCAGATCCATTAAAATGTAACGTGAAAACTAACAAGTTTTCAAAATAAAATCATTTATTTTTTCAGTGAAACAAATTAAGCCTTGCTAATGGCAACCTATCCAGCCAGCATATAATAATATGTCACGTCGTAAAATAAACTCATTCAGTAAAGATGAAGAAATTCTGAGATCAGTCTCAATGAACACGGCTATAAGGCACAATCCATGAAATCCACTTCGATG